AGAATAGAATAGAATAGAATAGAATAGAATAGAATAGAATAGAATAGAATAGAATAGAATTCTTTATTGGCCAAGTGTGGTTGGACACACAAGGAATTTGTCTTGGTGCAAATACTCTCAGTGTACATAAAAGAAAAGATACATTCGTCAAGAATCATAAGGTACAACACTTAATAATAGTCATAGGGTACAATAAGCAATCAAATCATACTAGGAAACAGTCAATAAAAATCGTTAGGATACAAGAGACAAAGTTACAGTCATACAGTCACAAGTGGGAGGGGATGGGCGATGAGGAGTGATGAGAAGATTAATAGTAATAGTAGTGCAGACTTAGTAAATAGTTTGACAGTGTTGAGGGAATTATTTGTTTAGCAGAGTGATGTTGTTTGAGAAAAAAACTGTCCTTGTGTCTAGTTGTTCTGGTGGTGCAGTGCTCTATAGTGTCGTTTTGAGGAAAGGAGTTGAAAAAGTTTATGTCCGGGATGTGAGGAGTCTGTAAATATTTTCACAGCCCTCTTTTTGACTCGTGCAGTATACAGGTCCTCGACTGAAGGCAGGTGGGTAGTAATTGTTTTTTCTGCAGTCCTAATTATCCTCTGAAGTCTGTGGCTAAAACAGACTTAATTGCATCATAAAACATATTCTGGGACTATTCGGGAGGAGTCATCTTAACTCTCTCTCTCCCACATAAGAGGGAGAAACTGCACTATCTTTAGCTCCTCTTAAATGCAATCCCTTCCTTCTGGGAATCCAGAGAATATTATATCACAGATGTCAATTCTCCAAGAACCGAGGAGCCCTAAAACCAAAGTCACTGTGTTTTGCCAGGTGTCAATTTTAAACCTGCTGTTCCCTATCCAGGCCTCAACAGCCTCCATGCACTGAGAAAGATCGTTCACAGCATCGCTTAACTCATCACAGACAGGCTTGTGACATAGGGAAAGTCATTTCCGGATATTTCTCTTTACTGTTTTTTTCTTTCCTTTCAATTTTGCTTTCTCTTTTTCCTTTCTGCATCTTCTATTGTTTCTTTTCCTTCTTTTCTAGATGGTATTACTTTTTATTAATAACATTACTATATCTTTTAAAAAGTCAAGATGACAGTTGCCTCAAAACCCCACCCCTTTTAGAAATGCATGCAAGGCCAAACACATGTACAATGGGGCCAAAGCTGAGGTCATCTTTCCACAACTACCATTTTGAGGGGTTTCTTTAACACGATTTTTGCAACTGAAACTAGAAGAAGGGAAAGTCTGTTGAATTCTGAGAATCTTGGTTCAGTTCTTACAGTTTGGCGTCATTGTTCTTTTGCTACTCAACACTTTACCGTGGGAATTTACTCAACACTTTACCCTTCTTACTCAAAACTTTACTCTATGAGTCTTCCCAAAGTTTAGAATACCCAGGATTGCATTCTTTCAAGGCTAACTGTTTTAAAACGTATAGACAGAATGACTTCAGCTGAAACCATGTTTACTTCTGCTTTGTTTCTTGATTGCCATTCAAGGGGGAAGGTGGAGCATTGTGGGGTGGGGGGAAACTCAGGAATGTGGTGCCTCAGCTGGCTAGCCATAACATCTTCCAGCCAGCCAAGGTCATTTCAGCGGAGAGTTGTCGAAGCTGAGCAGGAACCTACACCTGGATTGATTGGCCCATGTGACCTGAGGGACAAAGGGGTGGGTGGGGAGATCTTATTCATTTAACTATCCCTGAGTATGGGAATGATTTAAAGCTAGCTTCACTTTTTCAAGTGCCAATATGATGTACTCAATAAAGGATATATTGAAACTGAACGAAGTGTCAGAGTCCTAATTCCCTGAGTTCATTTCTCCAAACAATGACAGCATTCTTTAAAAAAAAAAAACATCAGATAAAAGAATTAGGCACTTCTGCTTTAGTGATGCATGCATTTTTTCTGTTAAGGAAACATTCTGCAGTGGCATGTTTGCCAATGACATACTAGACCAGGGGTCGCCAACCAGCTATATAAATTTGATAAATAAATATAAATATAATTAAATCTACAGCAGGGGTAGCCAAACTTTTGGACCTAATGGACCACTGTGGGAATTATTCTTTGTTCTTTGTGTACGTGCTAGGACAACGGAGCCTTCTGGTGGTTGACTGCAACACGAAGCAAGAAGCAAGGACAAATTGTTGCCATTTCTTACCCAGAACTGTAGCAAACTTAAACTTTGCAGCTTTGTACGCTTATGCGAATGATCAGTGCATTTTATGTGATGTAATGCGTTTGTAATAGGACAAAAATTGCTACATTAACAAATAGGACAAAAATTGCTACATTAACAAAGATTGCTTCTAATAAAAGAGGGTGTCGGAGTTTGCTCTGAGCTTTTCATCCCGAGACAACCTTGTGTTGTGTCTTCTTTTCATGAGAGACCACCACAGACCACCAAACTCATAATTTTAAATCCCAAGGACCAGAGACCCTGGAAAAATCTCAAAATAGGCTGCAGAAAAATTCCCCACCCCGTTTTCCTACTGATCGATCATTCTTTACTGTCTCCAGCTCCATTCTCAGGGGGAGAGAGAGAGAGAGAGAGAAAGACTTTTTGGCTTCATGCAAGGAAAGCAGCAGAAGCAGCAGAAGTCTTTCTTTCTCTCCCCCAAATTCCACCAGAAATGAATCTTTGTGAGAATTGTCACGCTGGCACAGCCTCTTGGAGCAGGATGCCTTGCTGGGTCCCAAAGATTCATTTCTGGTGGAATTTGGGGAAAGAAAGAAAGACTTTTGCTGCTTTCCATGCATGCAGCCAAAAGCAGAAGAAAGAAGAGGAAAGAAACAGCCCAGTGGCCATGCCAGGCGTGTGGGGCAAGTGGGGCAAATTCCCCCTTCTCCTCACTACCTCATGTTGTTCGTAATGCAAGCGACACAAGCCTTGTGTTCCCGTGGGCCATGTGGGCCGAGCAGCCTTGTGTTCCCGTTCAGCCTGGATTAATTGCTTTGGGGGGTGCTCTGGGGGTGAGATTTCTCTGCGGCCCACCAAAATGTTCTCACAGACCACCAGTGGTCCCCAGCCCACTGGTTGGTGACCACTGTACTAGACCAGCTGTCGCCAACCAGTGGGCCGCAGCCCACTTGTGGGCTGTGAGAAAATTTTGCTGAGCCGCAGACAAATCTCACCCCCAGAACACCCCCCCCCAAAGCAATTATTCCATGCTGCACAGAAACACAAGGTTGTGTAGCCCACATGGCCTGTGGGAACCCTCCCCGCCCACTCACTCCTTACCCGGCAAACTTACCTGCTAAACTGCTATTTTTCCTTTTTCTGACCATCATCTGTGTTCTGCTATGCCAGGAGATTTAGATTAACTGGGAAGCAAGAAATGGTTGGATTTCTTGCTTTCTAGCTAGTCTTTAGATCTTTGGCTCTGCTTTTAAGCACAGCCGAACCTCCTTTAGGACTAAAGTTTCTATTATTCAGTGCAGACTCATGGCAAGCAAATTTTATGTGACAGACTGCTAGCCGATGGCAGATAGATCACTGAATGAATCTGTGATTCTGTGAGCAACTCAATCTGCCGTCTGCTTTGCCTGATTTTGGGTAAAAGTTGCTCTTTTAAAAAAAAAAAACACCATGTACATACATGGTGTATGTAAATATTGTGTTGTGAGTTAATTTTGTGAGTTTGCTTGCTAGCAAATTTTATGAGTTTGCTTGCAAGCAAATTTTATGTAACAGATTGAGCTAGCCAATGGCAGATAGATAGATTTCTGAATGAATCTGTGATTCTGTGAGCAACTCAATCTGCCTGCTTTGCCTGGTTTTGGGTAAAAGTTGCTCTTTATTATAAAAAATTCAATATTTATATAAATATTTATAATATTTCCATACAAGCCATGCCCAGCCAGTCACATGACCAGCAAGCCACACCCACAAATTAGGCCACGCCCACAGAACCGGTTAGTGGTCCCTGGGATTTAAAATTATGAGATTGGTGGTCCCTGAGGTCCAAAAGGTTGGCAACCCCTGTACTAGACAATCCCCAGCTTATGAGAAATTGTGAATTATGTCAACAAGTTCATCATACAATTTTTGACATGCATCAAGGCCGAAAAGATAATCATAATGCATCCATTGAGGAATGATTTTGTAGGAGATCAGATTACTAAGAAGAGGGAGCAATAGTTTGGTGTCCTTTAGTGTTGAAATTTGATCATTTTCACCACCCCACATGAAGATTGGGATATTCATGCTTCTTATATCATAAAAGGGAGGGGTCATCTAAAGAGAAGAAGATAAACACTTCATTAAATCTCATAACAACTAAATATTGCTACTATTATAATATTGTCCTATAATATCTCGTGGTTTGAATCATTTAGCTTTGCTACTTCCCAGAGTCTAGGATAGCTCTACCTGACTTATTTTTTAGGATGGTTGTTAATATAATACACTTTTATTGTCATGCTATGTGGCCATCACTATCATAGCGTATCTTCCATTTTTGAGCAATCTACCTACAGGCTTTACGACCATAACCCCATAAAATCTGGAAAAAAAAAACGTTTAAATTATTAGCACAGTAAGCTTTATTCATTGTCTCCAATACTCTAAATTCAATTCCTGCTAATTGCTCCTAAAAGAACTTTTTTGTAGTTTAAAAGAGACCCAATACATTCTTTTCTGAATTTCCTGGTAGTTATATCTGGGTAGACTTTACATGTTTGATGACACAGCATTTCATTGATACAAAAATGGACACTCCTGCCTTTAATCAAAATAGGTGAATCCAGGATGACATATGAAATGTAATGGTGTTATGTAAACAAAAATTACAAAAATAGTAAATTTGTAACCACTTTATCTTCATTCTTATTTATCTGCAATATTACTTTCATTTGAAAAAAAACTTTGTCTACCTGATTGTATTTTTCCATATTCTTAGAACCATAGTCAAATTCTTTAAACTGCCCACTATCAAGCACCTGAAAAGGACAAGAGAAAAGTCTCTAAAATCACTTTTGTAAATTATTTTTTTACATTTAAAAAAATGTTAATGCACTTTTCTAAAGCTTCCCATTAAAATAATCTATTTATATAATCCTTTAGAATAAGTTAAGATACAAAGATACACAATAGAAGATTCTGGAACAAAATAACTTTTCTGGAACAAAATTACTTTTCCTTTCTGGTGTTTTTGGATAGATTGGAATTTTAAATTCCTTAATAAAAAGTCAATACTATTAATGATTAATTTCTCAAGGGCACAATTTCCTTAAACTTGTCACAATGCAGCCTATTTTAGCTTTGTAGCTGTAAGTGATTGTCATCCTCCCACACAAACTGTTCTGTCTTTCTGTATTCCCTCCCTTCTGGGAATCTGAAAAAATATTCTATTGCAAATAATACATGGAGCAACTGCCAGAGGTCTGTTGCCCAGCTTGTCTAGTGTGCCAATTGATTAACTGAAAAGTATTGGTGATTTAATCCCTTGATGTTATGGAATATAGTAAACTGGATTAGGAGGGAGGGATTAGGAGGGAGGGACTGCATTCCAGAAGAATAAGAGGCAGCTCAGTCCAGATATTTTCTGAGAAAGAAGGAGGATGAAGAAGTCCTCCCTAATCATTCTCAGATGATATGTCTAGATACAGACAGTAGGGTGCTTCACTTTGGCAAGATTCTGTCTCTAAGTGAAGAATAATAAAGAACTCTACTTGGAAGAACCAAGACATGTCTATCCTGATTTGGGGGCATGGCATTTGTAACCCGAAAAACAGACGGTGGAACATACTTTGCCTCTGAAGAGAACTGAAAAATTTCAATTGATTCAAAATATAGCAGCTTGTTTAATCACTAGAGTAAATACAATTGGCATCTGTGCTGTGGTGCTACTTTGCCAGCGGATTTGCCAACTCCAAATTCACATGATCCTTGGGAGAAGAAGTGTTCCTACTCAGTGGAGGACAGTGGACAATATGTTTTCTCAATCAGTGCCCTGCCCTTCAGAACCCTGCCCTGGTTCACGAGACAAGTAGCATTTAAATGCTTGCAAATTCTTGGACTGTCCCAGTGATAGTTTAGATTAGCTGATAGTTTTTGATGGCTGTTTGTCCCGCAAACTGCCCTAGTCCTTTTGGGTGTAGGCTAGGGGTGTCACACTCGCGTTGTCACGGCATCATCACATGACGTATTGCAGCTTTTTCCCCTTTTGCTAAAACGGCAGTGGGCATGGCCAGTGCGTGATGCATCCGGCTTGCTGGCCGCAGGTTTGACAGCTCTGGTTTAGGTTCTATAAATAATGGTATAAAAAATTAATACTCAGAAAAGCTAATGGAGAAAACAAAGAAGAATTCATTTTTAATTAATGGGAAATTGATACTTTAATTTTATTTGAGATAGAAGCATTTATTATGAAGACAGAGATCAAAAAGGGCATTTGTTATTCCCAGTTGGTAAATTTCACATTTTTAGTTTCACATTTCAGAATTTTTACCTGCTTCCAATGTAAGAGAGTTTTTGTTGATGTGCATCCTAATAAATGTGTTACAATGACATCCAGGCGACTCTGAGGAAGAATATTTTTAAAAAACACATTTTCATTTAATTGGTACATTGATGTCACCATTTGAAATAAATTAGCTTGTTTAAAAATATGCAATAAACATACCATATTTACATTGTTTTCACTAATTCCACCACCGGACAATAAAATATTTGCACAGGTTTTTCTCCATAAATCCATGTCACAAAACCTAGTCAATATTCGTGATATTTGATTAGGTAGCACACAAATTTCTTTTCTGCCTAATGCAGCCTGTAAATAAAACAATTCAAATCCATTTTCAATGCCTTTGAACTTTTTCTATCCTTTCAAATTTGCATATTCCAAGTTTACTTTCAAAATGAGGTATCATAATAGGTGGCTGGGAGGAAGCAAAGACCTGACAGTACCTCTGACCAGTGGTGGGATTCAAATTTTTTTACTTCCGGTTCTGTGGGCGTGGCTTGGTGGGTGTGGTGTGGCTTGGTGGGCATGGCAGGGGAACGATACTGCAAAATGGTAAAATCTCCATTCCCACCCCACTCCTGGGGGAACGATACTGCAAAATCCCATTCCCTCCCCACCCCACTAACCTGCTTTCCAGCTCCATCCTTCTGTGCAGGACAACAAAAGAAGACCCAGCCAATCAGCTGGGACTCGGGAGGCAGAGAATAGATGGGGCTAAGGCCAGTCAGAGGTGGTATTCTGAACTACTCAAAATTTCCACTACCGGTTCTCCAAACTAATCAAAATTTCCACTACCGGTTCTCCAGAACTGGTCAGAACCTGCTGAATACCACCTCTGCCTCTGACATTTTCCTAGGTCAGTGGTGGCTAACCTTTTTGGGCTCCCATGGTGAAAATTGTGCATGCCAGCACCCAGAAGGCAATGTGCGCAGGGGGCCCCACGCCCCCTGCGCATGCACGCATTACCCCCACGTGCACTGCATGACTCTGTGCATGCGTGCAACTCCCGCACGCCCCCGTGCCTCGCGCATGCATGCCAGATCAACAGGCGGGCGGGCAGCATGCACACATGTGCAGTGGGGCTTTTCCGGGCAACCTTTTGCCTGCCACTTCCAGCACATGTGCCATAGGTTCGCCATCACAGTCCTAGGTAGTGGGTGATGAGCCACTGAACTGGATCATAAGATTATATACAATGCCAAATATCTTATTTCATCATTCGGGGATTGGTGCTGGAAGCTTTAAGCCCCAGTCCACTGATACCTCAGCTGTTGCCCTTGGTAATTTAGCAGCTCAACCAGAGGTGGTATTCAGCAGGTTCTGACCAGTTCTGGAGAACCAGTAGCAGAAATTTTGAGTAATTTGGAGAATTGGCAAATACCACCTCTGACTGGCCCCACCCCCATCTATTCTCTGCCTCGCTGATTGGCTGGGTCTTCTTTTGTTGCCCTGCACAGGAGAACGGAGCTGGAAAGCAGGTTAGTAGGATGGGGAGGGAATGGAGATTTTGCAGTATCCTTCCCCTGCCACGCCCACCAAGCCATGCCCACCAAGCCACACCATGCTCACCAGCCACGCCCACAGAACCGGTAGTAAAAAAAATTGAATCCCACCACTGAGCTCAACTCTTAACATAGAGATAAACTTGAAACATATATGCACTACAATAATCTTTGATAACTAAATAACAGATAATACAAGGGATAAATACTTAAATTTACCATATAAACTAAGCAATATTTCTATCTATTCTTTTGATTGTGATCTTAATTCCCATTATAAATGGTTCTTCTGCAACTAACAACAAATCCAATAAAAGCCAACAAATTAAAATCACTTAAAAACATTCAATAACATTAATTAATTAGACCACTTCCACTCTAATAGATTGCATCCTGACAATGGGCAATGATAAATAGTATGATAATTATTTAGCTTCATTATATCATTCAGAGTCCTTTGGAATCCTCTGATAAAACCTGAGCACTATTGGTCAACTTCTAGCATAGCTGTCATATTTCTCAGAGCACACAAACTCCACAACCACAACATCAAGGTAGTGCCTCACTTGGGGTATGCTACATATTTTTATTTACATTTATTATAACCACATATTGGAGGTGGCGCAGCTATAATAAATGTAAATAAAAATAGGAACATGACAGCCATGCTAGAAGTTGAACAATACTTCATCAGCGGAGCCAGATGAAGAGTGTTTGTCTCATAAAAAAAAATGATGAGATGTAATTTACAAAAACCCATATCGGATTGGTTATTTCACTGGTCAACAAGGACTGCTTTACACATTAGAATTCTTCTACTGAAAAGGGGCTACAGGACTCAGGGCTGTTGGTGGAGTAACCAAAGCCAGCAGCTGCAGGATTATTTGAAGAAAAGTTGTTGACCCATCACAAATATATTTAAGATAGAAAAACAAGAAATAGTCCTGTGAACATAGTAATACCAGTTGAATTCCACCCCTGACACCAGATATTATGGTTGTTGAGGGCCAAAGCATACAATGTATTGATATCGCTGTACCAAGAGATGCCAAAGTCAGAAAAAAAGAACTGGAAAAACTCATGAAATATCGCGACCTGGCCATCGAAACTACGCGGTTATGGATGAAACATGTAACAGTGATACCCAGGGCATTTGATCACCAGGACATTTAATACCATGTCCAAGAATTTTACAAAACACATCAAGAAATTGTAGCTTTCTGAAATAACACCAGCGGAACTGCAAAAAAATATGCTACTTGGAACATCGTATATTTTAAGAAGATACTTGGTTGATACCTAAGACGCTGGCAGCAACCCATATCAATCATGAGCACCAGTCAATGGTTTTTGTGATACATTTTTAAATGTTCATTTGACTGAATTTCATGTTTAATGAATAAAAGAGGTAGTAGTAGTAGTAGTAGTAGTAGTAGTAGTAGTAGTAGTAGTAGTAGTACAAAGGCCTTCCTAACTAAAATGTTGTCTGCTGCCAAGAGAAGAATAACAAAAAGGTATATAGCTTAACTTCCTTTGGCAGAGTTCCCAGAATATTTGTAAATATTTTCAATATCATAAACTTGTTAATCCCATACAAACAAACCTAAGCATGATTAACTCCTATTGAAGGCAATTATTTTGACATGAGATTTGTTCTTGCCTTTTAAAGATCTTAGCAGTAAAGTAACTAGCATATATTCATTATTTGAAAACCACAGCATCAATCACATACCTTTATAACACCTTGGTTCGTTTTGATTATCATCTCATACCATGGTTTGATATGATTCACCAAATATATTGGACCAAATGCAAAAAAGTTTTTTATTTTCTCAGCTAATGCTGGCATAGCTGAAAATGCAATGAATCCTAAGTATAAAGAAAATTAATGATTATTCAGAACCATTAAAAGTCATAGCTTGTTTATGATAGATATACTATATTTGCTAGAGCAGTAAGCAAATAGTATATCCACACAATCTGATGGATGCCCTTCCTGACGCCTATGTGGAGCTCATAAAAGATATTTTCTCTTTATGCCCAGAGAGAGAAATATCTGCCGCTACCTAGGATCGAACTCACAGCCTCCTGATTGTGAGCTCTGCCTCTAGGCCCCCATGCTTCTCATAACCCTCCTATTCATTGATTCAGTAATAATGGCTTAATATCCACATTACACATAGGAATTTAACCCAGTCATAGAAGATTTCCTTGAATAGGGAGGATTCTATACAGATACGAAGGATTGAATTAAAGGCTATTTGTTTGAAATGCAAATTAAAGAGGTGTTGTTTTGTTTTTGTTCTGTTTTAGTGATAGCAATCCCATTCCATTTGGAATGTCATATAACACAACCCATCCAAGGATATGGGTCAATAAAGATTATGTATGTTTATGTCTTATGTACTGCTTTCACTTCATTCACACTTTCCATTATTTTGTCCCCAATAAATTGTTCAATTACTTCTTCATGGTATGATTAAACAAACCATTCTCCTACAAATCTAAACAAAAAGAAAATAAAAATGAAGAATATAATTAAATATATACTGTAAGAATTGACACTTAGAAGTCTATAGCTTTTAGCCAGTTTGCATCCCACCAGAAATTACCACAGTTGAATGAGATCAGATGACATGTGCTGGTACCAAGCCACAGTGTTGTCATCTGCATCATGATGTCATTGCATCGTTTGCCTGATGACATTAAGATGCTTATCATGTCACTTGCCCTTCCACCCGCCATGCTTCCCTTTTCACCCCTGCAAAAATACAAGAACTTACCTATAGTGGATCCTTGGGAATAGCCAATATAAGAAAGTTGTTTCTGTCCAGTTTTAGCTAGGATAAAATATATAATAGCTGGCAGATCTTCCATTGCCATTTCATGAAAACTGAAACAAAATAGAGTCAATCAATCACTCAATCAAATCTTTGTTACGGTCCTAGCCAAATATAAGAAGGGTGACATATAAACAATTAATAATTTTAAAATCTAAGAAACATAAAATATATAAAGTTATTTTTTAAAAACAAACAAACCTAAAAGGTATATATATAAAACTATAAAAAGAATTAAAAATGTAAAAGAATTACATGGCTGACTAAATTTATTATAATACAAAACAATGAACTGGATAATGAAACTTATATCACTATAGCAATATGTGGTAAGCGACTCAAACTATCTCTCTTTCCTGATTATATATGCATTAATTGTGTGTATAATTGCTTGTTTGTCATGGTACTATAGGATGGGAATCATAATCTAATAGAAATGTAAAATAAAACAATCACATATCCAGTTGGGGGAAGGAAGTCTATGGAAGAAGGGGACTTTCAAGAAAATCAGGATAGTGAACATGACTGGTGTCCATGACAATCAAAGCCCTTCCCTCTTTTTGTATGCATTGTGACATGTTAAAAAGAAGATAGAATTTTGATTGCACAATCATAGCTACCTTAAAATTTTTTCTCTCTTCTGTGGATGCCCTTGACTGCTGATGAACATGGATGCTTCTATGACTGTCCAATCAGACCCATGGCACAGTCTAAGGTTTTGGACTTTTCCTTTCAAGTCAACAACATGGCATGATCCATCTTTTGTATTTCTTTCACATTGAAGTTTATTACTCCCTCCCCCCACCCACAGCACCAAATATTTTAACTTACCTGAAATTCCAGAATTCTTCTTCTTTGTGTGAAAAGTGCTGGTGTCTTTTACACCATCTGCTTCCTCGGTTATTTGCCAACCAAACATCAAAGCCAGCATCTGCCAGTACAAAACCTAAGCTACCATTGGGCACATTAGTCAGCCATATTCCACAATCAGTAAGAACACCTGGCATCAGTAACACAACAGGTTTTGAAGCTGAAAACAAAACAAAAAAAAAGGAAAGGAAGAAAAGGATAGACAAGAAAGCAAGACATTTCAATGAGAAAAAAATGTAGTTGGGCTTTTGTAATCAGCCCAGATTCTGAATAAAAGTAAGAATCTGGCCTGATTACAACTGAGCTATAAATCTGCAAACCATAATAACATTATAAGGCAAAAAACAGTAAAACATTTGCTTTGGCTTAATACTTTGTTAGTTTATTGTATTTGTATAACTGCTTATCTCACATAAAAGTGAGTCTGGGTGGCATTATGATACTATATAACTCTAAAAATGAGGTTATGTTCTTTCCTGTTTTCCCATGTTCATTTAAATGAAATGATTAACATGTAGTTTACTCATTAAGATAATCTTGAGATTCTTTGACTAATATCTAGACCCGGGGAAATCCCAAAACGTTCCTATTACATGATATCACAATATCATGGAAAATGAAATGAACTTGGAACCACGTGTGTTTTGGTTTTTGTGTCCATTTGTTTTCAGGATGACTTCTGTTTCCCAGAACAAGTAAATTATTTCAAAGGATCTCCCCCTTTAAATGAAAGGGTTTTCTCACTGCAGTATTTCTACAGATGTAAGAATGTAAATAGGATATTTCAAAAGAACAAATAAGTATTAATAAACTTTGCTTTTGTGAACTGTAAATGCAAAAAGAAACCTGTTTTCTCCAAGGCTTTCCTTGCAAGTATTCTGTTGATAGTAAGAAAGTAACCATCATTTGTCAGTATTTCATGTTCCTCGTTAGGATAACCATGATATTGTAAGACCTCACTCTGGAAAGGGATATAAAAAAGATGCTCCATTCAAAACCTTGCCTTAAATCTGTCGCATGTTGGATATTTGCCTTTGCAGAGATGTTTATTAAGGCAATACTACATTCTTAATAAAGAAAAAAATCCGATAGTTTCCCCCACAGACACCCACCCACACCCATATCCACATCCAAACAGAGGGAGGAGGGAGAGAGAGAGAGATGTAATCAGTCTTGTTTCACTTGTAACCTTGTTTACCTTTTTATTACCCTTACAACATACAACCTTAGCTCGTATAGAAATATAAACCTCAGGCGACTAAGATTATCATCTTTAATCATAAGGTTTTGCACTAGCTAGGTTTGCCTGTGAAATTGGTAGGAACATTTAACCTGTCCTTCAACTGATGAGAATATTAATAACAGCAATGTCTCTACATATTATAAGAAGCCAGTCTCACAAATGAAAAAGTGACCTTTTGGGGGTAACCTCTTCAGCATTTGGAAGAACAATTTTGATAGATATGTTCCAGTCTAACAGGAGACCAAAGGCAATGATTAGAATCTTCCACTAAATCAAAGCTGAAGCTGCTTTCCACAGCAGCTTGCCAGTTTGTCTCCTGTATAAGATTACCAAAATCTGTATCTTTAGCTTCCTTTAACCCATATGGTGGATCTTTATTTCTGATTGCAATAATGACCTACACATTTTTGGTTGATCTAAAGAATGAAGTATTACATTCTCAGAATTACTATAAGTTCCAAGGAGATTTGAGTTGACATCAAAAAAGTCATAATATCGTATCACCTATTCATTGCTCTACCTTATCTTTATTGAAAAGTGTACCATTACAGTAAGAATCCTTTCGTCTATATAAAAAGACTGTATTCCATCAAAGATTTCTTTTTAGCCAAACCAGAATAAAGATCCCAATAAAAATAGGTTATCAAAGGAGTAAAAAGAGAAATATCATGTATCAAAACTGTGTATTTATTATTCCAAATTTGGAGACTATTGAATATTAAGAGTAAATGTTTTAGTGAAAATATTTTCAATCTGTTTTATTCCAGAAAAATGTTTCAGGTAAAAAACAACAACATTGACTTAAAAATTGCTAAATGTCTATGGAGATTATCCAGGTCATCAAGACATCAAGCAGAACTCAAGAATCTCAAAGGTGCTTTTTTCAAGAGGTAATTGGTCTTTCTTTTGTTTTTCCTTGAAGATGTTTCACTTCTCATCCAAGAAGCTTCTTCAGCTCTGGATGAGAGCTGAAGAAGCTTATTGGTTGAGGAGCAAAACGTCTTCAAAGAAAAACCAGAAAGTCCAGCAGCCTCTTGAAAAAGCACTGTTGGGACTGATTTATAAACAGGGGTGGGATTCAAATTTTTTAACAACCAGTTCTGTGGACATGGCTTAGTTGGTGGGCATGGATTGGTGGTCATGTTATTGGCTGGACGTGGCCAACTAAATATCACTCTCATCGAGGCATGCATCTCCTCGCCTGGCCTCTCATGACTGTGGGGATGCTGCAACAGTTGTAAGTATGAAAAATGGTCATAAGTCACTTTTGTCAGTGCCATTTTAACTTTGAATGGTCACTCCACACAAGCAAAGTACCAGCAAAGGAGGGGAAAAAACTCCAGAGACGTTCCTGAGACAGGAAGTCTAGTCCTGCCAAGAATGTAATAAGAGTTAACGGAGAGGCAGTTTCTGTAAGCAACACCAGAATGTTTCCTTCCTGCCTTCCTTACAGGATTAGGCCAGTAATTTCTTCTAACAACCAGTTCTCCGAACTGCTTAGAATGTTAACAACCGGTTCTAGCAAATAGGTGCAAACTGGTAGAATCCCACCCCTGTTTATACACTTATTTGATTCTAACTAGTTTCAATCCAAATCCAGTGATTAGAAGAGCCCTCCATAATAAGTGAACTAACCTGCCACTTGATAATGTAATAACAAATTGGGCATGCTTCTGCCTCCTGAGGTGGAAGAGATTTCTGCAGAGTATTATCAGAGAAGTCAAGATAGCATCTACAATAGTGCAATCGGTGGTTGCACCACTGTAAGATCTATGTCAGGTACACATAGATCAAAATTTCTGAACTCAAAAGAATATTCCAACTCAAATAGGAATGTTAAATGATACCAATAGACAAATGGTAATAAATTAAAAATAGGTCAGAGAAAAAGGGTTTAACTTTAACTTTCTTTAATTTATTGTTTTACATTGTTTTGTTTTGTTTTGTTTTTTTGCTCTTAAAAGTTGACCAGTGATTGAATGGTGGACTCTTTTTTTATTTTTATTTTCCTTTATGTTTTTTCCCCCTTTTTCCTATGAAGACTGATGAAGATTGGAGAGTAGATTTATTACACCTAACTGGAAGCCACTTCTATTTGGGCTTTGTTGGGAAGATAGACCCATTGTGGGACTGAATTTATTTAATTAGATAACAACTGATAAAAGATGGCATTAAGAAACAAGCATGGATATTTAATCCAGGATGAATTACTTTTAACTTTTGGGATGAGTTGGGATAGATGTTGTGGCAAACTTTATATGGGTGGATTACAATAACATTTTCTTAACAGAGAGTTTTGAGACCTTAATCTTGTCATTATTATTATTATTACCATTATTATTATTATTAACTATGTTGTCATTAATATAGTATGTAAAAGACAGATCAATAATTTTCAAGTAGATTTACAGGTTTAAATTTTTTGGGGAGGCTTATTTTGCAAGGGGTAGGAACTAATATTGTAGTAATGTATTAATCAGTATTCAGTTAGGGAGGATAATATATGTATATGCTTTTTTTTTCCTTTCATTTTGATACACTTTTTAAAAATGTCTTGATTGTTTTATATTTTGCCCCTTTCTTTGGATTTTTTTTAGAGTTTTGTATTTTAACTTTCTTTTGAATACAATAAAAAATAGGGAGGGGAATATGATAAGCAACAGAAGAAAAATCAGTAAAGGTTCTAATTAAGGAATGCCAACCAACCTGGGAAATGACACAGAGGACACAAAGATGTTCCAACAGATGTACAAACTACGGTCCTATTTCACAGACTGGCAAAATAATGTTTAGGATCAATTAGTGCAGATTACAACCCTACACGAAGAAAGAACCTTGGACACCCAACATGGTAAAGAGGAAATAAAGAGGAAAAAGAGATGCAAGATATTTAATCTGGCTTTAAAAAAAAAATCCAAGGAACATGAAATATTGGTACATAATTGAGAAAGTGAAAGAGTACCAGAGGGAAATCAATATATGCTTTATGAATCCTAGAAAGGCCTTTGATTGTGCCTATCATTATTAAGTTATAGAATGTCCTTAGAAAAATGGGATTCCCAGAACATTACATTGACCTCATGAGAAATCTACCAGATAGATAGATAGATAGATAGATAGATAGATGAT